TCTGTTCCGTGACTGCACGTGGCACAACGTACGTTTGAAGAGATGGAAGTAACGCAACGTAATTTTTGATCGAAGGAGTAACATTTTCGGTGCCGACAGTATTTTGAAGAAGCAAAAAATCAACCGCACAAGTATTCTGGTACTCCCTTCTATCGAAAAATAAGGATTTTAACAATGGTAATTCGCTAAGGATAACGGAAAAAGAAGATATTTCGTCTTGTTACTTTACAATCGAGGAGACTAAGTTATTTTGGTCACGCCTCACTATATTCTGGGACTTCAATGTTTTCGTTTGGAGGCTGCCTTAAGGAACCCTAGCCAATTCTCAGGTATGTTTTAGATAAATGTCTAAATGCGTAAACCAGTGAAGCAGTTGCTCACTCAAATTGGCGCTAAAAAAGGCGCGGTAATGACGCGCGCATGCCTTTCAGTTTAGTTTATTTCTTTGCGCCAATTTCCATATTTTACATTCCGCATAATTATGTCATTCCGCAAGCCATGCCACATGCCATTCCGCAAACTCATTCCGCCTTTTACCCTCACCGGAAATCAAGCACAACAAAGCAAATGAAACAAACAAAACCCGTTTCTAGAACTTCCCTTAACTTCAAGGAAACCGGCTACAAGAAAAAACTGCTTTATTTGGCGGTTTTCCAAGAGACTAAAGTTTCCGGGAATCTTTTTTTGTTTGGAATGAGGAGAATTTTGCTTGATAGTCCAAAATGCTTGGTTAGGGGTTTTGTCACCCAAACTGTAGGTTAAATGTAGGTCTTGCTATTTCGTCATCAGTTGAAGAAAAGTGTTCCAATAACTTTATCCGTCATAATGTAACTTAGGGGGATTTAGAATTAAATTAATTTAATTAAAGCCCCGATCCGTCCCCCCCCGGCAAATGGGGCTTGTAATCTGGAAGGGAGGGGAACATTGGGGGGGTACCCAATACCGCAATACCGTTTAAAACAAATTGGCAAATACCGAAATACCGTGTCAAAAATCGACGAAATACCGGCTGACCGCATTTATGATCAGTCACGTTTACTTCAAGCTTTATCCATCTCGCGTGTTTGGTTACCTCAACCACGTATGTACCAGAAATCAACCTCATGCATTCCCAGAAAACGTGAGAAGACCTTGATCGGTAGAACGATCGAAAAGCCCGGTCATTGGATGCCCTTCCAATTTCGTCATAGATTTCTTAAAGAATCCTTAAACATTACCATTAAGTCTGAAGTCTTAAAATGTTAACTTTTATTAATCTGTTTACCTTACTGTTGGTCAGTAGTTGCACATTGTATTGACCTGTATTATGCAGGAGAGCGCAAATAGATTGTACCGCAATATCGTGAAGGATCTTCTTTTACCGAATACCGTTGACCAAAAGGATGAAAAACCATATACAGCAGGGCTAGATACCGTAACTGATGTCCCCCTCGGAAAGTTATTAGCTGGACATTTATCCAGCTGGCACATCCAGATAGCACTTAACGTAGGGAATAGGATATTACATGACCTTAACTGCCTTAGGCTAAGGCACTGAAGCAGATTGATGACCAAGCAGATGGCAATATAGCCGTTCAGGAAAAATTGAAATGATTTGCCGGAATTGACTTCCGCCGGAAGAGCTCACAGGGATGAGTGAGGATACAATAAAGTGAACAACTGAAACTATGACCAGCTAGCCCTGAAAGAAGAGTGCTTAGCTTCGAATGAAGAACGAATGGAGTTCGAGAGTTCGACGAGCGGGGGGAATGCTGAGTAGAGAATCGACCTGCAAGCGCGCGTTGACTCTTTCGGGGCAAAGAGCAATTTTATTTGTTGTTGTTGTGAAATTTTGCCGCGTAGGCCAATTCGAAGTGAAACCGTTATTTTTGTTTGTTTTCCAAGAAAATTAGATTTCTGGGTCATTTTTTCTCCGGATGTCAGAAATTGTTTCTTCGAAAGGAAGTACATCACTGTTGCTTTACTGCTCAGTCTTATTATAAAAAACTGAGTTAAATTAAAAAGTGCTTCTATGGCTTTGTCAGAGAGGGACTCTGATAATGGTCAGAGAGAAAACAGTTTCAATACTGAGAGGCTCATGAACTCATAGCCCCTTTTTGTGGGATCTCAAAACAGCGCTATCAACAGCAGGTGATCAAGGCGATGTTGCAGTGCAATTAAATATAACAACATACCCCCTCCCCCGGTAATATCAATGGCGTCATTGGAAGGAAGAAAACTACGTGATGTTGACACTTACTAATAGTTTAAAAGACACTGGACATAAATATATTGGATGCTTGGAGAGACTGTAATGAAGGATTGTGAAAGCGGGTAGAGTTTTCTGATGCCCAACCGGCCCAGCTAAGCGGTATTTTCAGTACGGCAGTTTTTCTCTATAATATGCAAGGAACTCTCTGAAAAAATAAATCAAGCAATTCAGATTTCTGCATTCCATAACACAAGAGTTATTGATTCCCAAGTTGCAGGTGTTGCCGCGGTCCATTTTCATCCTTAACGTTTTCGGATCATGAAGCAAACAAAGAACAGTTTTAAAAAAACCGAACCATTATTTCATTCATTTTGAGGGTTCAAGTAGTTTTGTTCTAAATTCCCCAGCCGCCGCGATCTGTTTAAGTCAGATCATCTGAGCCGCTCTTGCCAGAATAGGGCAAATACAGGCATTTCAAATAGCAATTTATTTCTCTGTAAAAGAAAACACTACACTATTGTAAAGTTATTATTATTATACTTATTTACGGTCTTTCTGTAGCCTGTGTGGTAAACGTAATCTGACTGATTCCGCTTAGAAACCTTCAGTTAGCTTAACCGGTACAGTTTAGCTCCGTCTGTGGCGCAGGCTAGGCTTTCATAATAAAAAGTCCCCCATAATAGTAATTTCTTTGGTCTGCCATCTAACTGTCACCAATGCCAATAAGTTACATTTTTCTATTTTAGATTCGCAAAAAGGGTTAGTTTTGACCTGTACTACAATGGCACACGAGTAAAAGAAAGCTGCAGGTGAGTGAAATATCTATATATGCGATTTATTTCCTTTTCCCCTATGCACTGTCATCATTACACTTGATTATAGGAGTCCCTGTTGAATAACAAAATAGTTAGTTACCTATATCACCTCTAATTTTTTAAACTAAATTTTGCATTTTATATCATGCATTTAACTACAACTTTCCAAGTAAATTAGAGTCCTATCCTTGAAAAAGATATTCAGCCGGCATGATCAGATCATAGTAAACTGAAGAATCGAGATCATTCTCTTTAGAGAGTTTGATATTTAAATACAGTTGACCATTATACTACCCCTCCATCAATCGGCCGAGGCCAGCTTTTAGCCATCCCGGACAAGAGTTTGCCGATCACCTCTATTTAAGCTGCTTTCGATCGATCGAGGGCTCGTATAATAAGTAATAGCTATAGGTTTGGCTTCATTTTAAAAATATGATGAAGGAAAGTACAGTGTAATACGCGGGATATCGAGCCCGGTTCAGAGGAAGATTATAATGCCAGTGTGAAAATCAAGCAAAGCAAAGCAAAAGAAACAAACAAAAACCGTCAGTCTACGAATTCCCTAAACTTCAAGGAACATTCCTCTTTTAAACACAGAATCCCCGTCTGAACAACTACGAAGTGAAAACTGCTTTTTGGCTGTTTTCCAAGAAAATAAAATTTCAGGGAAAATTTTTTCTTCTTTCAATTTCAGAAATTATTTTTTGGTTATCAGCGGCAGATCCAAACCTTCAGAAAAGGTGGGGGGAGCACCGATCATCCAGGCTCTGAGGTAAGGGAGGGGGGCAGTCTCAAAAAAATTTTTTTCGGCCCTTCGGGCCTCAGTTTGCTCTATAAATAAGGTGGGGGCCCTCCCCTCGATCCTGCACTGGTTAGGAGTTTTCTCACCCAAAAGAATTGAAATGTAGGTCTTGCTTGCTATTTTCGTCATCAGTGGGAGAAAAGTGTTCCAATAACTGTTTATGTGTCATAATGTAACTGGGTGGATTTAAAATTGTGGGGATGCAGAGGATTCCACAACCCTTAAATACTGCCGATAATTAAAGCCCTCATCCGTCCCCCTCCAGGCACTCCCGGCCTTCTTGCCACTAAGCAAATGGGCCTTGTAATCTGGAAGGTTATAAGCCGGACGTTTAGCCAGCTGCCGGTACATCCAGATAGCACTTACGTTGGGGCGAGGATCTTACACTGATCTTATATTACATGACCTGAAAGCTAAGCACTGAAGCTAGCAGGTGACCAAGCAGATGGCAATATAACCGTTCAGGAAAAATTGAAATAATTTGAATTGACTTCCGCCGGAACAGCATACAGGGGTGGGTGAGAAAACAATAAATGAACAACCGAATTATGACCGGCTAGCTATGAAACATGAGTCCTTCGAATGAAGAACGGATGAAGTTAGAGCCGGCTCAAACAGGGTCATGACAGCTGAGTCGAAGTTGCAACTAATCTCGCGTTGACTCCTCAGTCGGGGCAAATATCAGTTTTATAAATTGTTGTTAAAAGACACCAGCACTTGAAATATTTATATTACACTTTATTTCCTTTTATCCCCAGCTCAGTGCACCGTCATCATTACAGTTTGAATACAGGACTACCTGTTGAATAATACTAGTATTGTTACCATGATGTTAAAACATCTTCACTTTTTTCCGGTTCCGTGACTTAGGTCTTAGGTGTTAGGTCTTAGGCACGAATTGTATTAAAATACAATTCTTGCCTCTTATAACTTGGGAAGACTCTTCTTTTTGTGAGATCTTCTAATCTTGGTATGGAAGACATCAAATCCTGCCCTTTGTTAATTGGTGTATTTTATTTTTGTCTTCCTGATAAAATTTTAAAGTCACAATTTTGTTTCAAGGGCTCCAGGATTTTGCAGTATTTTTACTACTTTTCTTTTCATTTGTATTGCATTGTACGTCACTTCCGCGATTCAAGGGAAAATAGTCACACTTCATTGTTCATGCTATGACGTATAAAACGCGTCATCTGCGTTCCAAATTCGATCAGTTGGAGCTAGAATGGTGGGTCATATGTTTTCGTAGATCAAGTCAGGTTTTATCCCTTTTCTCCCTTGTTTGACAGTAGTAACATGTGGGAGAGCATCAAAGGTTTTTTTCGACGGCACAGAAGAAAATTTCTCGTAACTGGAGTTGTCATTGGCGGAGTTTATTTGCTGGGTCGCTACGCAAGATGGCGTCTGGCCGAATGGCAACGACAGCGTGAAATGGAGTACGTCGAACAAGCAAGAAAACAACATCACTTCGAAAGCAATCTTAGAACTTGTACAGTAACTCTTTTCTCACTAGTACCAAGTTTACGGGATGCGCTGATGGAAAAGCTGAACTGTGAAACTATAACTTCGAAGCTTCGCGAAAAACCTGCAAACAAGCTCGAACTTTGGGAACAGCTCAAGATTTTGAGTTTCACTCGCACCCTTTCGTCGATCTATTCTTCGTGTATGCTGTTTGTGTTTTTAAGAGTTCAGCTTAACATTGTTGGAGGTTATTTATATTTAGACAGTTTGATACCTACGGCAGAAAACTCAAACGGGAGGCAAGTTCACATCGGTGAGGGCTTGCAGAAAAGGTACCTCGCCCTCGTGAGATATCTCCTTGGAGATGGGCTTGATTTCCTTTTAGAAAAAATCAGACGATCTGTAGAAGGTAAGGCGAGAAAAGGATTAAAACTAAACAAAATTGGTTGGTTAAGCACCGTTACGCCACAATCTAATTTTACACGTGTACTAAAAGTGTTGATTAAATCATGACTTCTTGACTTCCCCTTGGTGGGGGGGAGGGGAAGATCCAGAGGTATTTGGAACCTTTGCCTTCTGGGACAGGGGCGTGGCCAGCAATTTTGCATACAAGGGTTGCTAAGGTGGTATTGTTGTGAGAGGTATTAGGTGAGGCTGCATGTCCTCAGATGGGGCTTCTTTTATTTTTGTCAAAAATTTCTAATATTTTATGTCAGTGCCAAATGTAGCTGGGGATTAAAAATCATGCTTCCTGAAGAGATGGTTAAAAGTGCGTCAGTCAATAGTTGTTTTTGAATACATTACATCAGGAGCTCCTGATTACATACTTTTTCAAACACTGTGGTCTTGTGATAATCTGTTCACTCTTGTTGTGTTGGTACCCATGCTGTACCAGTCCCTGCAATACTTATCGATGTCTCCTCTGAATCAAATATACTGTAGCTGCACACTTCAAATCTTTGAAGTGGTTATATGCCTGGAAGAAAGCGATGTCTCGCTCTTTCAGCTTGATAATAAGTGGCTATAATACTGAAAGGCAATGTGGTAACCTGGGTGATGTTGAATTAGCAATTGAATAACACATGTGATGGGCTGTTTGCCTTGCTATTGATGTCAGTGTCCAGATGCAATTCATGTCCATGCAGTTCCAGATAATTTCCTCAAATTGATTTGCAAACAGCCGCTCACTTGACATAGCTTCTAGTGCTATTAGACAAGTATTGATTGAAAGTGCAAAAAAAAGAAAATCATGCACTTCATGACTTTTAACCTGGCACTGTGCTTTGCATAAGCTGAGCAATGTTGTCCTGCAGACCTCTTGCTGATCTTCTTTATAATAACAATACTGTAACCCTTGATATAGCATGCAATACCTTTCTGATTTTTTTTTCTTCTTTGCTTGAAATTACAGCCAGTTTCATAGCCCAAAGAAGGGTTCCAGAACCCTTGGACCCCTCCCCTGGCTACACCACTGTGGGAGGAGAGAATTTGATAATCATAGCCTTCTGGGAAGTGGGGAATCTGAACCCTAACTTGGATTTCTTGTCATGTGTGTTGGTCCTTGCATAGAGTGTTTTTACATGATGTTACAACAGTCATATTAGTGTACCAAGACAGCCCTGTGGGATTTGAACTCTTTTCTTATGTAAATGCTTTCTTTTGTTCCAGTAAATTAGGATAGGTTCTGACCACATGAGTGAAAATGCTCTATAATGCAGACACCCCTGTAATGTGGATTCTAGGTTCTGTTTCTTTGGTGTCCATATTAATGAAGTAAATTTAGGAATAATTTTACATTTGTGTCTTCCTTTTTGCCTCCCTGTTATAATGCTCTTGCAAGGTTCTTAAAAAATAATTATAATGTAATGATTTTTAATACATATCTATTAAATTTTCAGACATTTTAGGTGAGGTCTCCTTGAAAGAAAAGTTTAGCCACACAGAAGTAACAAAACTTGTTGGTCATATCAGGCAATCAATAGAGTTTTCAAACCACAGCATACCAATCAAAAGAACATCGCCAGATGCTCCAAATGGCACAGTTAAGAATGGCCACCACCGAATGCCTCTTCAGAAGTACATGCTGCCATCAGATATTGAGAGTTTATGTGATTCCACTAGTGAGGGAGAAGATGATAACTTCAGGAATTTAGTTGGAGAAACTCTTGATATTTTGGACAGTGAGGATTGTCATACTGTGTTGAATATGTGTTTGGATGCAGGGTTTTCTCATGTTATGAGCAGCATGATTCCTTTTTTCCAGGTGGAGGAGCTAGGTAAGTTGGGTAATCACAGGAAAGAACCTCTGCAAGGTCCAGTGAGGTCAGTTAATACAGTGCAGTCTCAAGAAAGTTAGGCATTTCCAGCAGGAACTGGAAACACTGGTTTCCTCTTACATGATTTTGTTTATTTGTACCAGAATTATTTTACAATGTTTAGAAAGCTTTATTTTCAGCACTGGCTTGTATAATAATGCCTTCTCATACAGTTTAGACCATGGTAGACATTATTTTGTATAATATTTAGTAATTGACGTACATAATGTACAATGAATTCTAGAGAAAGTCCTGAAATTGGCACAGCAATTTTCCAGACCTGGAAGAAATCTACTTAATAGAGATAAAATCTGAAAAAAAATGGTATAAAGTCATGATTTGCTTTTTTTTTTCAAAGCTACAATTAGTGCTTTGTATTAAGTGAAATTTTTTCCGTTTTGGTCAAATCTTTTTTGTCAATCGCAACTATTATCTACCCTTTTCTGACAAATTTCGTTGCCCATTGTTGCGCTTGCAGTCCTGCATCATGAATACTAAATTTTTGGAAAAGTTAAGAGATTTATTGTTAAAAATTCAAGTAATGGCTCATTTAAATGTTCATACTTATCATGCACATCTTTTTCCAGTGTTTTTTAAGGCCTGTATTAATCAACTGTTTAATAATAACCTTGAGTCTGGAAAAAGAAATTATTGTTTTGAAAAAAGTCTGGAAAAAGTCTTGAATTGTGGATCCAAAACCTGTACTTGTAAACCTTGTAATGAGCTCTAAATTCATACACTGGGAAGTAGGTGGAAGGCAACCACTCATTAATATCTTCAGTATCTGCTGTCCTTGAAAAAGACTGACTAACTGTAGATCACTAATTTTGTCTATGCTGCTACTTTTCTTTGCAGAACTTGGTGCTGTTGGTGGAATGGAACGTGAACCATCACTAGATCTTCCACTGGCAAAGGTCATTCCTATTGTAAATGGGCAGATCAACCACATTCTTTGTGACTCAGATAACAGTTATTTCCAGGAGCTGTTCAAAGTTGGTTGTGCCAGGGAATTTGCAGCAAATGTTTATGAGGCATTTAGCCTTGAAATTGACTAGATAAACACTTCACTTCCAGCTGACTTAGTTAGACAACTACCATGCATCTTTGAGTACCATTTATTACAATTACAGTGGAACCCTTCCTTACGGCCACCACCCCATTTATACGACCACCTCGTTATTATGAGCATATTCTTTTGACACAAACCTAAAAATCACTGAGTCATTTCATTTTTTTGAAGAGCTCGTTAATGTAACCACCTCGTTATTACGTCCAGGATTTTATTGCCCAACGGTGGTCGCATTAATGGGGTTCCACTGTATTGTTATTGTTATTTGTTAATTATTAGCCTTTTCTATTGTTTCCTCTAAGAAGAATCTTTCAACAAAGACATTATACATGTATAGTAGTATTATTTATTATATTGTGTGTAGGCAACTAATAATAATTATTCAGAGTCTTTTTTGCTTCAAAATGTAGTTTCAGTTTGAGAGTTTCTAGAGGTGTCCTGGGTTTCCCTAGTTAGTACAGTGCCAGAAGTGAAAAATATATGTCATTAAATTCAGTAAAACTGGGAAAGATTTGAACCCAGGAGTCATTTCATAATTAGGTTGAGTATGATCGTTTGGGTGAATGTAGTCCTGTTGTTGACAATGACTGACGTTTCGACAAACTGTGCGGTAGTCATCTTCAGAGTCAATGTTATTGACCTGATTAGTCAATTAAGTCGTGATGGAGCTACTTTCTCATGTCTTTGAAGTAGCTACTTTTTCTTTTGATTTTTTGGTCATTATCTTATAACAATAATTTATGACACAGTAAATTGAAGCTGGTTTTACGTCTGAGGGTCAGATATGTAGGAAGAAAAATTTGCATCAAATGATAATTCTCATTACCTGTCAGTTTGATTAAGTATGATAACTGTCAATGAGAAATTTGATGATGAAAAAGGGGTGAAATTTTAAAGTACTTAACAGATATATATGTTGTAGTTCAATTTCATCCTTGGTTTAAATTTTATTTTCCTTTGTTTTAAACTCATTATCATACATTACCATACCCCAAACAAAGGGAAATAAAATTTAAATCAAGGATAAAATTGAACCACAACATACATTATTTTAAGATGCATAGCAGTGTCACTGTACATGATGTATGTGTTATATAACGTTCATGCTGAAGGCAATATGTATTTTAGAAAGTATTCACACTTAGGAAGTACGATAATAGTATGGCAAGTTGTAATGTATTGTCTTTCTGCAACTATATGAAATGATATTTAAATAAAGAAGTAGATTATTATTCGTTTACGGACGTGTTTGTGTCCATTCAGTAGGCTTGTCACACCCTTGAATACCCTCCCCCCCAGCCCCTTTATCAGGTAATCCAAGACAGTCTGGGATCCTGGATTCTACAGTGTGGATCTGGATCCCTTGTCAGTGGAACCTGGATTCCGGACTCTGAAGTCCCTGACCTGGAAGGGGAATCCAAAGCCAGGGATTTTGGATTCCAAAGCAAAAAATCCCCAGGTTCGGAAAGAAATCTGGATGTCCTTGCATGCTTTATCGGGATGTATACTTTAGCTAATGGTACTAGGTTGAGCCCTTTGGAAGTGAAAACCAAAGTTTATTGCGAGAACATGAAACCGTTCAAACAAAAACTTCTAGAATAGTACTTCCACACGGGCTAACATCACAATTAAATCACAAGTAAACAGAAGAAAAGAGCGCTCTAGTCACCTGCGGATCCTAACGCAAGCTTTACGTAACACTCGAACCAGAAAACAAAGAGCTTTAACGCCTAACACTCGAACCAGAAAACAAAGAGCGCGCGGTTCAACCATCCCTTAACATTTGTACTTCGCCCAGACAGTAGTTACGTTCCGCTGGTTGCAGAAATTTATCATGCGCGGTTTCCGGTTTTTCACCCTCAATGCAGACCAGGCTGCCTGAATGCCCCTTCATCAGTTGTATTCAAGGAAAACCGGGAGAGTGAAAGTGAAGAGTGATTAAAGCGCTGTCTTCCAACATCGGTTTCTTCGCCCGATTGAATTCTGCTGGGTAAAACATGTACTTGAACCGTCTAGTACCCAGGACACAGTCTGGTCTGACGGAAGTGAAAATTAAACGGTAAAACAAAAAGTGCACTTGACATTGACGCTCTTGCCACTAACGTAACAACTGAAGACAAAACAAAAATGCCTGCTCTAGTGACTATTAAGCGAAAGAATCAACATTAAAAATACGCGCTGGTTACTAACGAAACAAACAAACCATAAGACAACAAGCTCCTGTACAAAGTACCATAATTTAATCAATGGCAAAACGAAAGGCGCACTTGTCAATAAAAACCATGAGCACTCGCGTTACTGGTGAACATAACCTATCCTCAACCAAAGAAAAAAAGAGCGAGTTATTCAGTAACGATACAGTCAAGCCATAAAACAAAAAGCGCGCTAGTTGCTAATAAACGTAACAACCAGGGCCCAAAGAACAAATAGCGCGCTAGTCAACGACGTAACAATCAAGCTGAACACAAAAAGCGTGCTGGTCACTAAACTAACGTAACAATCAAGCGAAAAAAAAACGTGACAGAAAAAACAAACAAACAAACAAAGAGCGCTAGTCACCAACGCAACATTCAAGCCAAGAAACAAACAGCGCGTTTGTGACCAAACGTAACAATCAATTGCTAAAACCAAATATCGCGTTGATTATTAACGTAACACCGAGTTGACCAGTCTGGACGGGCCAAAGTGTTTATCTCCTCGCTCCTTTCTATGAAAACACCATCGAATATAAAACGTACCCTCTGAAAGGCCGGTCATTTGAAAAACACAGGTTCTAATACGTATTGGAATGTTTCCTAGAGTTTGGAACTGTAAGGTGATCTGTTAACAGGACGCGCCGCGCGCTTACAAAGTGACAAAGCCTAAACGCCAAAACTATTAAAGACATTAAGTGAAGTCAAGAGAGGATAAAGGGGACAGAGAAAGCATCCCCCATACGCACCTTATTCCATAGGTAATTCGTCTCGAGTTATTTTTAACACCACAAATCTCAAGGGGGATTAGACAACAGCCAATCACATACGACCCACGCTCAGAGCCACGCGTCCTTCACGAATTGACGCAGAACAAAATGGCGGAAGACGCGGAGAGCGATTTTGCTATTCGTCTTGTCGACGAAAGCGACTACAGAGAGATTTCTGCTAAAGCTGTGTCAGCGAAACGGAAATTAAAAAAGACTCGCCCTTCCTCTCTTGTATAGAGCTAACAGTACAGCAGGGAAATCTTTAACACACTGAATATCATCTCAGGATCATTTATAATTTACAGTTTGAAGAGAGTAATTTCTGGTTTGATATTTATTCTATTATTAGTCTTTTATTATTCAACAAAAATAACACTTGGCGTCCTACTTGCTTTATTGTACAAGCGACCGGTTTCAATAGCCCGGCGAAATTTCTCATTTCATTAAAGCACTGAGGTTACGACAACTTCGAGTTAAACTGATTTCATGGGTGGTCAAAGAGTCCAGCGATTCCCTTTTCCCAGGTGAGCACCGACTCATTTCGCTTCAACATTCAGGAATGCTCTCGATCTCTTTACGCTTTCATCGCCTTTCGCCCGACATGTTTTGCACCGCGTTTAGTCATGCGAAACCTCCACGAAACATCCACGCAGCGCGCGAGGTAACTTTATCCCGATTCTAAAAATAACTCGACACGAATTACCTATGGAAGATCATGGAATAGGCTGTGTATGGGGGATGCCTTCTCTGTCCCCTTTATCGATCCTCTCTTGATGGAGTCTAAAAAGAAGAAGGATACTTCACTGTTGTTGTCGTCTGCAATGATATTATTCTACGTCCTCAGCTCTTCTGACGACATTGTCGCCGAAATTGCCTTCATCCACTCTAAATTCAAGATTGCTTCGAATTAAATCTCTCAATTTTAAGAAAAAATTTACTTATATTGAGAGAATAAGTTGAAACAAATCATAGGTTAAGAACTTTTTTTCTGTAATTGAAACTGACAGTTTCAATTTACAAGAGAAAATCTTATCCTATGACTCATTTTTAATTTTTTTTTATCTTCACTCTCCGTAGGGACGTTCGCCCTGGAAAAGCAACAACAGGTGAAGAAGATTCATTTAAAATGACTTCTTTGAAGTTCTCCAAATTGTTAAATGTACCTACTTTGACTGAATTATGCAGAATAAGAATACTTCAGCCTGGCCAAAGATTGCTTCAGTCGCGGAAGGGAAAGAGCTTTTGAAGAAACCGCGATAGCGACGGCGTAGCGAGTACATCAAACAAGAGTAACGTGTAACAAGCAAAACCAGAATGACCACTCCAAAATGCTCTTTGACTGTCACCACAAAATTTTGCATAAGCATTATTTTCAGTCTCTCTTGGGGAGTTAAAATGGCCTCAAGAGAAACTGAAAACAACACTTATGCAAAATTCTGAGGTGACAAACAAAGAGCATTATGGTATGTTATGGTATTTTCCGGAGTGGTCAATTCTACACGGGCTTCTGCACGTGCACCACTCTGTCACATTTCTTTGCGGCCACTTCAAAAAATAAATGTTAGACCCTGTTTACATGGAGTGGGGGACCCCGGTCAAGTGGGGAGAATTCACCATCAAAGAAAGCGTGTTTTGGACGAAATTTGCTGTCTAGATAGCAGCACTTTAATCGCCGGATAAGCCATTCAACATCCAGTACCTTGACATAACGCCGTAATCATATGCAGCACGGACTTTCTACACGCGTGCAGGCTATAATTAATGCTTTATAAGATTTATCTTGTTTATCACCAAACTTTATGGATGATAGTTTTTTCCTTCAAATTTGGTCGAGAGGTCAGTGAACAGAAGGAATGTCAAACCAAGGTGAGCTTTAAGATTTTTTCTGTTCGAACAAGACGCTCTTAGAAGCGTTAAGTTGAGCTTGCTTGCAAATAAGATAAGAAATAAGGAGGCGATAAATTCTATACGAGACGTAATATATCAAACATGAGATGCAGTGTTTCATGAAACACCGAGAAGAGAGTTGAAAATACGACGCGCAGCGGAGTATTTTTGACGAACTTCGAGGTGTTTCATCTGGTGATGAAACACTGTGTCGAATGTTTGATATTTCTTCTCAAACAAAATCATTTTTGAAGGAGAAATTAAGGATGCAAAAATGAGCAGTTTTTCATCTGATATCCAAACACTCATTAAACATTAATTTCCTTTGAATTTTCTTTATGAATTATTAATGAGTTTGAGAAAGGATTTTCTCGCTAATAGTTTTTCACGTCCTTTATCGAGTAATCTTCAGAAGATTTACTTTTTACATAGTATTCGACGATTTGTTTCTGAATTGATTGAGTACACGTGTATGAATACACAAAAGTCGAGAGAAATTACATCATTGCCAACAGCAAAGACGTGTTTACAACACCCGCAGTTAGCCTCACCATCGAAGTTTTGCTCATAAAGATTCTTCTTTCTTCGACCACTTAATTTTATAAGTATTCACTTATTCCAAAGAGATCAACGCAGTCAAGCCATAGAATTCGTGGACCTACCCGTACCGGAAAAGTTGGACATCTTTCGCACTGATCTTTCCTAAGCTTTCTTCACGAAACATGCATGGCCCTCTGAATATGTTATTGGCACGCGCCACGATTCTTATCCCCAGTTTCTACGGTCTCTGCTAGGACGCCTGGGACCATGAACCCTTTTGGCGAGCACACACGAAAAAAGAAAAAAAGAAAAAGAAACGCTTGCATTTTTAGAGTATCGCTGCTAAGTAAGCTCAGCAAGCTCCACTAATTAGCAAGTCCCCCCACTTTGTATACTGTCGGTCAACCAACAGAGATTAAGGGAGATAATCTGGCTGAAAAATTTGTATTACTCTCTCTTTTTTTCTGATTTGGAGGAAGACTTCAAAAAACTTCAAAGTACCCAAGGCCAGTAATGAAAACTGATTAAAACCATATAGACAATTTAAACAGACATTTTTTAAGGAGCACAAAAACTATTAGAATCAATTTACTAAGAGTGATGAGTACTGGCGTAGGCCTGGAATTGGAAGCACTGTAATGTTACAGAAATCATACAGTGGGACTATCACAGAGCCTGGGGTATCTGTGATTATGTTCCGCGGGTAAGGAATTGGGTATCCAGCTCCTAAAAATAACTTC